GATTTAATAAAAACAACTTATAAAAGGTAAAGAGTTAATACTAGTATATAAGGACTATTTGAAATATTCTTGCCTATAATATCACATGATTATGGAAAGAGAAAGAATACTAAGATAACAGTCTCATTCTGTTTGAGATTTTCCTGAGTTCTTTAAGCTTATAGGCCATTTATTTTGTAGAATGCTCGTCAGTCTAAGTGTGTTTGGTGTTTCCTCCTGATTTGACTTAGGTGTGGGCTCTTTTGGTGAGGAATATCCCAGCAGTTTTGCTGTGTTCGTTCTGAATCCTAACAGATGGGTGAGAAGCGTCAGTTGGTCCCAGTACTGACGAAGCTCACTTCGACTGCTTCATTAAGGTGGAGCCCAACATGCTTCTCCTTCACAAAGTTGCTCTTATTTCCCTTTGAAAAGAATGAATTTCTGGGGAGAACTGTGCAATTATCTAGTATTTGTTCTTTATAAAACTTAAATTTATTTTTTATTTATATCAGAATAGATTTATGTTTTTATATTTTATGCAATGAATTATAACTTATTAAGATGACTTTATTTTCGCTTAAATTGTTCCAGGTTGAACCAATGGTAGCTGGTTTCTCTGACCTTTAATATGGTATCATTCTTTGAACACTATTTTTCTTTTTTGAGCACTTTTTCCCCTTTTTGGTAGAAGAGGCTGCTGCAGACTCATCTGTGCATTCACTACCCCCACCCTCAAATCAGACATTTTCTCAAGGTTCCCTGTTTTGTTTTGTTTTTACTGAAAATTGTTATAGAGACTCCAAGGGTTATGTGCTAGGTGTGCAGTGTGCCCATTGCTATTCCGCGTGCTGCAGCTCCTAGACAGGCGACCAGGCACCTTGGAGAAATGTCTGATTTGAGGGCTGAGTGCTGAAAGTGCCGGGAGAGTCTGGAGGATCTTGTTCTTCCAGAAAGTAAGAGAGCGCTACAAAACAAAATAAAAATACATTAGCGACAGAGCTGGACATTTTCTTGCATAGGTAGGTAAAAACACACACATCTAGGTCTAGAGTCATCAATCTGTCTGCCTATCAATTGAAAACTACAAATTCATGCTGATACCAATTCTAATCCAGCACTCAGGGTACATGCTCTCCTCCCAGTTTCCATAGTTCTAACCACCATGTCTGGCAGTGAGGCACCTTGTTTACATTAATATATTTCTCACTCAGTCAATTCTCCATATGTAACCAGTCTCCTACCTCCACTCTGGCCCTCCTCCCCCGCACAAGCATCCCTTCCTCCCCAGTCAGGCTCCCATGTCACCTAGTGGGCTTCACTGCCAGGCTAAGAACTTTTGTGTCCATGGGGACTTTGATCCTATAAAATAGGATACCCTTCTCTCAGAAGTCTTATTGGATCTGCAGTCTTACTGGGGATCAAAACCCAGTGTGAACACCCTTTTCAGTCTGTGCTGAGCCATCACTCTTCTTGCATGTCATGTCCACCCTTCTCAGGACCTGACACCCCACAACTGAACTTTAAACTTGGCAGAAATGGAATTTTCTACCGTACTCACTTTTTCAAGATGCAAAAATAATGCAGCCTGCTTTAGGAAGATCTCTGTTAATTCCTTAGCTGTGTGCAATAAAGATCCATTCTGTCTTCTTATTTCACTGTTAATGACGCTCCAATAGTAATAGTATTTTATCTTCTTTTGTAGTTTTCAACTTTAGTTTCATTGTTCTTACTCAACTGAGACCTCTTCTAATACAGTGAACATGCCATAGCCTTTTGTTGCATCTTTATATTATCTAACATAATGAACTGTAAATAATAGGAACTTACTAACTCCAACTGAAAACCAGTAAGTATATTTCCAAAGAGTTAATTTGGCCATTTTACTCTACATGATTTTTTTTACAGCATTAAACTGAATGTAATCTGTGGATAATGTATAATGTAGACAATGTATGTGATATCTAAGGAAAGCAATTATTTCTTATCACAGAGAAAAAATATAAAATGTTAGTTATTATATTTCATTGAAAATACATTTTTCACAAAGACAGAAAATAAAATAAGGCAAATATTGGCAGTGAGTTCTAGAAAATAACAAAAAAAATAGTCAAATGAATGTAAATACACATTAAAATTAAAATTTTAAGACGAAGATGCTTTTATGTTTTCAATAGTAAACTAAATATATATTTTTTACCTGGATGATTTTATGGAATCTTTGGGAGTGGATTTTAAATGCTATGGGACAATGGAATTGAGTTTTAACAAATTTTGACAGAGGATTTTAATTCAGTATTCATGTATCATCGGTACAATATCTGAGTTCATTATCCAAATAAAACGGCATGAACTAATTATAATGATTAGTGATATGAAACTTTGGCTAAAAAATAGTAATTTTCTTAAGCTAATATATATGAAAATTGAGATAAGATGTGAATGGAAAATTTGTTTTCTTCTTGTGGATTTATATAATAATCATATGAGTACATAAGGTGTCTGAGCAAGAATTTGTGTTTTAGTTTGTGAAAAAAACAAAACAGGTTTAGTATGCAAAGGGAAAACCATTTATCAACTATGGCCATATTTTCACATTCAGTAAGAACAGGGAAAAAATTTTAAATGATTTTAAGAAATTCATGTGCATGGTTCTTTGCCCATGGATTTGAAAGAGACTAGATGGATCTTTGTTAGAAGGCACTAATACAGTATTACATTAAGGAGTACTTTTCCTCTCTACTATGGCAAAATTCTTTTGAGTAACCAATATTTCATGCATTATGAACTTTTTCATTCTAGCTGGCAAGGACAGGCATTACTCCCAACCGTCCAAACAGTAAGCTTGGGCAGTTTTGTGCTGACAAAATTTATTTCATGTCTCGCAGCATCATGTCCTTTGCATTATGTTCAGTGTATTGTTTCATACATTTCATCCAGGTTTTAGTTGTTTTTCAGGAAGGAAAATAAGCCCTAGATTAAGGCTGCTTTGGTTCCACCTAATGAGCTGTGAAGAGATCAAATTGTTTCCAATAAGTTTAAATATATCCTGAAACAAAGCTCAATAATATTTGTAGGGATATAAAATTATCCATCACTGACTTTCTTCCAGGCTGGATGGAGTAACAGGGCGTTCTAACTCTCTCAGTGTACATACCTCTTTTCTCAGGTACCCTGTCCAGCAAACCCGAGTTTGCTCAAACCCCCAAAGATTCTACCTCTATATCTTCCACTCAAGGATATTAGTGTGCGTTTCGCCCTGCCTTTGCTATAGCCAGGCAATTCTCTCCAGGCTGTAATTTGTGGCAATATTAAAACTCACACATTGTTTTCCTTTCTTCAGGGGTCCCTGACTTGGGAGGTTTGACATCCAATGTCTGAAAACAGGTGTTTCTATATTTTGGGTTTTAGTTGTTTATTTGAGGTAAATCTTATTAATGTTACTCCATCGTCTCCAGAGGCAGAACTGTCTCCAGCAAGTTTTATCATCTTGAACTTACAAAAAGCATCAAATGAGCCCACTATATTAGTAAGACTGCTGATTTGACTGGTGAACCGAAAGCAGCAAACATTTTAGGTGACTTAATAAGACATATAGGAAACAGTGAGATACCAACCTGAAAAAATTCCAGGGTGCTATTCTCTCAATGAAGTTTCCAGGAGTGCTATAATTTTGAGCACATGAAGATATCCCTGTCAAGGTGAAAGGCAAGCTTCTGATCCTTATATCACTGACCCTGAAAATCAGAATGACAATGATTTTAGGCTGTTTGGGGGTTTGAAGGGTAAATATACCATAGTTGTGTGGACTGTATCAATCCATCTGCATATTGGCCTGTCAGACTGCCAGTTTCTACTGGGCCAAAGCACGGGAAGGCATTGCAGCAAATCCAGGCTGAACTACATGCAAGCTGTTCTAGTATTAGAGCCTCGTGATATAGCAGAACCATTAATCCTTGAAATGTCAGAGTGATAGGAAGCCACTAGAAAGATCAATAGGAAAATCATAGCACAGAACTCTGGTATATCTCTCTTCTTTTGCAGGTGTCTATTCCCCTTTGACAAATAGCTCTGGCTTGCTAATGGACTTGGAGATTTTCTTTCTTTTCTTTAGAAAATTGCATTTCAGAAAATTTTCCATTCATCTAGGCATTTTAAGTTGTTGACGCTATTTTTTTCCATTATGCCTAATCATTTTAACATCAATAGGATCTGTGATAAAAATCTGTATTTTTATTCCTGATATTGGTAAACTGTTTTCCTCATGATGTTATTGATCAGTCCAGTTAGAGTCTTATCAGTTGTGCTGATCATTTCAAAAAAATCAGTTTTTCTTTTATTTAATTCTATCAATTGAATTTCTGCTATTATATTCATTATTTATTCATTTCTGCTTATTTTTGGTTTACTATGTTCTTCCCCCCCCCCAATTTCTCATATTCAGGCATTAATGTTGTAGGCAGATTAATGCCTCCCCCAAAATATTTATATTGTAATCCCAAAAACCTATGAATATGTTACCTTAAATGACACAGGGACTTTGAAGAAGCAACTAAATTAAGGATTTTGAAATGGGGTGATTCTGGATTATTTCGGTGGGCAGAATGTCATCAGAAGGGCCATTTCAAGTAGAAGGCAACAGAGTCAGAATCAAAGAAGTAGATCATAGAAGCAGAGATTAGAATAATGCCACTGCTGGGAGGGGTTATGAGCCAGAAAATACAGGCAACCTCTAGAACTTAATAAAGGACATGAATCCATTTTCTTGCAGAATCTGGTAGAAGCTTGCAGTCCTGCCAACACTTAAAGTTTGGTCTCATAAGGTCCATTCTAAGGTGTCTGACCTCTGAACTGTAAGATAATATATCTGTGTTGCTTTAAGCCACTAACTTTGTAGTAACCTGTTATAGCAACAATAAGAATCGAATACACTTAGAGAATTTATTTTAGATTTGTTTTCTAATATAATAATTTAAAATTATGTTTCCTCCTAAGCACTACTTAATAGTTTTATTTTTCAATGTTATTCAACTTAAAACGGTCTCAAATTTTACCTGTGTTTCATTTATGGGCCATGAAACATGTGGTGTTTCATTTCCAGATTTAGCCTTTTCTTTTTCTAGGTACATTTATTTTACTGATTTTTAATTATTTGTTATCCAATACATTAGCTGCTGGCCTCATGCACCTGTTAACTTGAAATTGAAATTTGAATTAAAATATGAGGAAATTATACAATGATAACATTGCAAAGACTCACTATGCAAAAAATATACATAACAAGAGTGTAAATATTTCATTAAAATGCTATATTAGTTAAATGTAAAAATTATATTTTCTACATGTTGAGTTAAATAGAATATATTATTTAATTAAAATAAATTTTGTTTTTCTGTTTTTCTTTTCATGTGGCTAATAAGAATTTTAAAATTTATGTGTATGGCTCACTTTTGAGGCTTGCATAATCTTTCTATTGGACAGCATTGTTCTCATCTAATCCCATTATAGTCCTAACTTATCATCTCCAAATATGTATTATTTCTCACATCCATCAATTCTAACCATAGATCTTTGAATTTTCATGATCAGTAACTGCATCATGTCAAAAAGTAAGCTTCAAATATCCTAACTCTTACAAATAATCTTCTTACTGTAGTTTATCAGTCTAGTGTTAAAACTTTTCAATTTCATGAAGTTTTGCAATACACTGATCCTACCACTCTCACTTCCTAACCTATTTATATTAAAACTAGAGGGCCAGTGCACAGATTGGTGCACCAGTGGGGTCTCTCGGCCTTGTCTGTGCCCTCTCATAAGATGGGACCCCCTCTGAGAATGTTGGAGAGCCGGTTTCGGCCCCATCCCTGCAGGCCAGGCTGAGGAACCCCACCGGTGCATGGATCCATGCACCAGGCCTCTAGTATGCATATAGGATCTTTGGTTAATCTCTTCCCATCCTCCTCCCTCCCCCGTTTCCACTGAGATTCATCAGTCTGTTTCATGTTTCCATGCTTGTGGTTTCCGCTCCTGCATTGAGCATCTGCCCCCTAGTGGTCAGTGTGTGTTTTAGGTTGGCTGGTCAGAAACTGAGATTAAACCCAATTGTCAACTAAAATTTTGACTCAATTGAGCAGGTTGAGTGCTGGCAAGGAGGCAAAATAAACCATCCCGGTTAGTAGGACTGTAAATTCATAATGTCAAGGGGTAAAAAGGAAACCATACCACAATTCTTTATGATGTCTGCTTTTCCATTCTCTCAAATGACAATTTCATATTTTCCTTCTCTCCTCAACCTTCCTACTTTAAGCCTATACATAGTTTTGACTATTCTTTTTTTTAAATATATTTTTATTAATTTTTTACAGAGAGGAAAAGAGAGGGACAGGGAGTTAGAAACATTGATGAGAAAGAAACATCAATAAGCTGCCTCCTGCATACCCCTCACTGGGGACATGCCCACAACCAAGGTACATGCCCTTGACCGGAATCGAACCTGGGACCCTTCAGTCTGCAGGCCGATGCTCTATCCACTGAGCCAAATTGTTTAGAAAGGTTTTTACTATTCTTTACGTTGATTTCTACATACCATTTTTAACAAGTGTATTAATTTTTCATAAAAAAGTAATTCCCCCAAATCATATTATCTTCTACTAAAAATAAAAATAACTTGTTTTATTGAATTTATTAAATTCATAGAGCTATCTCCAGGATATTATTATCCTATGTAATAATAGACAAACATGGTAATTAACCGTACCTCCAACACTCTTCCCATTGGCTAATCAAGGTGATATGCAAATTAACTGCCAACCAAGATGGCAGCTGGCAGCCATGCAGCTGAAGCGAACAGGGGCTTGCTTGCTCCAGTGAAGGAGGAAGCCAAGGTTCCCCGACTGCCGCTGCTGGGCTCTGAGCTTGCACTCTAAAAAACAATGTTGCAATTATAGAAGCTAAACAATCCCCATGCTTTTAGCCAGCCGCCGAGCTGGAGTTGCAACAGTGTTTCAATTATAGAAGCCAAACAAACCAGATACCTGCTTTCAGCAGCCGAGGTCTCAGAGCTGGAGCTGAGCCTCGGAGCTAAAGCCGGCTCTCAGCACCAGTGACAGCCATAGAAGGTAAATAAATCTCAGAATAAAAAAAAAATAGTAAAAAGGAGAGGTTGGGAGCTTCAGTCACCCGCCAGCCTGAAAACAGCCCTCAGCCCCTCACCCAGGCTTGCCAGGCACCCCAGTGGGGACGCCCACCCTGATCCAGGACACCCTTCAGGGCAAACCAGCCGGCCCCCACCCGTGCACCAGGCCTCTACCCTATATAGTAAAAGGGTAATATGCCTCCCAGCACCGGGCC